AAAAATAAAGACAAGGGTAATTTTCACAGGGTGTGATTCAGCGGTAGGCTTTCTCAGTAAGTAGGAACTGCTAGAGTTTTACTTTTTTTTCCTGCGAATCTCATGTTACCTCGGTTCCTCATCTCCTGTCTTTTCACTTAGCTTTCTTAAGGAAACCCACTCCTCCTCCTCCTCCTCCTCCTCCTCCTCACTTCCTTCAGCTTTCCTACCCAGGGCCCTCCTAGCCTGCGGCCAAGAGCAAAGCAGGACCGACCAGGATCCCTGCTTCATTCCACATCGTCTCACCAGCACCTACTGTATGCAGCCTGGTCCAGAGAAGACATGGCCAGGCGTCCACCCACAGTTCTAAACGTTGTGTGTGGTGTGAGGGCGGGAAGGAACAGGCAAGAGTGGGCGCCGCGCTGAGACAAACTCCCAGGAACTGCCACGGGGGAGCAGCAACCTAGCGGGATGTGTGAGAGCCTTGGGAGACCTGCAGGAAGGGTGTCCCCAGCGGAAGGAACAGCACGTCCCGAGGACCCAGAGAAGAGCAGTGTGTGAGAGCAGGAAAAAGAGGTTGGGGCTGCAGGCTTTTACTAGGACACATTGCATAGGATCCTGCGAACTTGGGGAACACTTTGCTTTCAGGCACGCACGGTAGCTCACACTTGTCATCCCAGCAGTCGGAAGGCGGAGGCAGGAGGCTAGCTGCAAAGCCATAGCCACATAGCAAGACCCTGTCTCAAAAATATATTTTTTTTAATTAATGTAGTAGACCAGGTTGTCCTTGAACTCACAGAGAGCATCTTGCCCGCCACCCAACTTTGGGGTGATTAATGGCGGGCACTATGATACCTGGCCTGTGGAGGATTTTGAGCTGAGATGCGGTCTTTAGGGGGCTGTAGGACAAGGAGGACGGCTTGGGGGCCAAGCACGAACCTTCCGCAGTGATCTGAGCAAGTGGTGATGGCGACTTGGAGGACCGTGGGACAGCGGGAGTGGGGAGCGGGCAAATTGTGTGTGTGTTTTTACGCTAGATGCACAGTTTGCTGGTGCCTTCTATGTGGGGATGAGAGAAGACGCAGAAAGGGAGTTAAAACGAATCCACGTCTTTGGGCCTGAGTAACGGACGAAACAGGAGAGTCTGGAAGGGGAGAGTCTAGAGTGGCTGTCACCAACCTAAACTGGAGCAAGCAGGGATCCATGTTGAAAAATAAAGCCCAAGAGCCGGGCGGTGGTGGCGCACGCCTTGAATCCCAGCACTCGGGAGGCAGAGCCAGGCGGATCTCTGTGAGTTCGAGGCCAGCCTGGGCTACAGAGTGAGTTCCAGGAAAGGTGCAAAGCTACACAGAGAAACCCTGTCTCAAAAAACCAATCAATCAATCAATAAAAAGAAAAAGAAAGCCCATTCAGTACCTCACACCACAGGCTAAGGCTGACATCAAACAGACCTCAACAGAAGAGCAGCCCTGCAAAATCTCTAGCGGACTGAAGGTGGAAGGCACTGGCATGTGTGAGGCCCTAGCTGGATCCGCTGGCCGGAGGGGAGTCCCACCCTTCCTGAAGGAGGAAGGGAAGAAGGGAGATCCTTAGTCAATCAATGGTCAGTTGTTGATCTGTCAATCATCAGTCAGTCCTGTCCGTCAGTTGTCACTAAGTCTGTCCTCAGAAGTCCTCAGTCAGTCAGCCTTCAAATCTTCCTTCAGTCGTCACTTGGTTCTCAGTCGGCTTGGTGAATCAGTCAGCTGTCAGCCCCTCGGCTCACTCTGCCTGGCATCAGTCAGGCTAGAAGTCAGTTGTAGGTGTTCAGAAGTCAGTCATTAGCCAGTCTGCCCCCAGCCGGTCTAGCACGCGTGAAACCCCAGGTCCCAGGTCCCAGGACCACCGTCTCCATTCCCCAGCCCTAGCAAACCTCAGACACTTCTCTGTCTCTGTGGATTCCACGTGGGGATTTGCAGAGTCCGCGTCATCCGCTCCTCTCCACCCGTTTCCCTCTCCAGGGCTCAAGGCCAGTTCACACGGCCGCTGAAGTTGGCGTCTCCACCCTCTTCCCGCCGGAGCAGTGTCCCATCCATCATTGGCATGGAATGCACTTTGCCTATCTCCCCGTCCACTGAGGGGCCTTAGGCTGTCTCCACCTTCCGGCTGCTGGGAGCAGCCAATTCGTCTGTGGCTGGGGACTGGAGATGGGTGGAAGGGACCATGAATCAGAGATGCCAGAAAGGGGAATTTGGGAACCTACGCTGGGCTGTGGCCACAGAGATGGTCTTGCCTCCAGACCACGTCTCAAATGCAGCACGCCCCCACCTCCGCAGTCACTTCCCCTTCTCGAGGCTGTCATTCCTCGTCAGGACAGCGGGTCCTTTCAGCTCTCCTTCTCCTCCTTGGGCCCCCCTGGGCTCTAGGCTCCATTCTCCATGGAGCAACCTCAGGGCTCCTTTTGAAGCTGGCCTCAGAACAAATGCTGCCATTTGCTTGGTCAGAGGCATGGCATGGTTCCTCACCACCCCAGAACCAAGTCCGCCAGCCACGAAGCCTTCCTTGCACTGGCCCTGGCCACTCCTCCGGCCTCCTAGCACAGTTTCCCAGTTTCCTTTCTCCTTCCCCCGCCCCCCCCCCCCCCGCTACCTGCCCCTCCCCCCCATGTTCCAGAATGTGCTCTGCCCCAGACCTCTTCCTCTCTGCTGTTCCAGAAGACTCCCCACATCCTCCAAGACTTGGCTACCCATTCTGATTCCCGAAGCTTCACTGGGCCACTTCCTCCTCAAAGAGGCAGATGACCCCCCAGCGCTTCGTCCTGAGTACAGTTCCTTCCTTCCTTCCTTCCTTCCTTCCTTCCTTCCTTCCTTCCTTCCTTCCTTCCTTCCTTCCTTCCAGTCATTCACTCAGCCAGTAGCATTTAGAGAGCACCCTGCTGTCCCAGGTACTCAGAAAAAAAAGTAAAAAACAAAACCAAACAAAAAACAAGCCACCAGTGGTGGTGGTGCACGCCTTTAATCCCAGCACTTGGGAGGCAGAGGTAGACGGATCTCTGTGAGTTTAAGGCCAGCTTGGTCTCCAAAGTGAGTTCCAGGACATCCAGGGGTACACAGAGAAACTGTATCAAAAAAACCAAACCAAATCCTAATGGGATTAACCGTGGGAGTTTATTTAATAATCAAAGGAATTTATTTGGGGATAAACTCACAACCACGGGAGATTTATCGTAGGGTCTGGGAAAGCTGAGCTATGTCTCATGCTGAACAGCTTGATCCAAGATCTCAGTATTTAAAACCGCGAGGTAGCCAAGAGGAGGAGGCACATGTGCATCCCAGGTCTTAAGGGTCCCCATGGCCACGCCCCAGAGGCAGGTACCTCAAGGTCATGGGCAAATGTAACAGCTACAGCTGCTCACTAGGGACGATGCTTCAGGGCATGGCTCCAACAGCTGCCCACAAGGTGAAAGGCGAAAACCAACCCCCCAGAGTGGTCCTGGGCCCTCCACATGTGTTATGGAGAGCATGACAAAGAAGCAATTGTAATATTTCAGGGGCTGGAGAGATGGCTCTGAGGTTAAGAGCACTGGCTGCTCTTCCAGAGGTCGTGAGTCCAGCAACCACAGGGTGGCTCACAACCATCTCTAATGAGATCTGTCGCCCTCTTCTGGCCTGCAGGCATACATGCAGGCAGAACACTGTATATAATAATAATAATAATAATAATAATAATAATAATAATAATAATAATAAAAGAACATTGCTGTGTTCTTTAAAAATTTTTTTTTCAGGAATCCACACAGGTGGGGAAATTATCAACCAATAAGACGCTTGCTGTGCACGTATGCTGGCCTCACTCCAGGGGTGCAGAGTCCTCATCAAAAGCCAGGAACCTGTTACCCCAGCGTTGGAATGGCTGGGGACAGAAGGAACCCTGGGGCTGGCCAGCCACCAAGCCTCCACCCCCAGCTGTCCCTAAGAAGGAACTGTCTTCCATTTCCTGGCCCAGGACAGAAAAGACCAGAGGCCCCCACTTTAGGACCCCTCTTCTGACTCACACAGGGGACACAGGCTGCCACAGAGCAGGTTTGTAAA